ATGGCAGTATATTGACTCCATGTAGGTTACGTATCAAACCTGTTGGGTTGGGACTTTCACAAGTGCTTGGGAGACATTTTCTAAGTCAGTAATACATGTTTTAGAATGGTCATTATTTACAGGAAAAATTTCAATTTAAACATTCAAAAGCCTTCACCCCCTAATTTTGTTTCAATGTACAAAACAACATTGAAATGTCAAACTTCATTCAGTTTTGACCATATTTAGAGTTGCATAATGAGGTTAAAGCTCTAGACTGAAGTGGTCTGGTACTATATGTACTATGTGATATAATAATGTATTTGTTATGTATTATAAATGATTTATTTGAAGTATATTATTATTTTATTCTATATACAATAGTATAATTACATAATTAAATGGTTTTTGGTTAATTACTTCTGCATTGTTATTGTTTCCTTTTGCTGTTTTGCTTTTTTATGATGGCATTATACTCCTCAGTTAAAAGCCACAACCCTTTCAACATTTTCATTTACCATATTTAAGTGTTTAACTATCTGTAGTCCACTGTGAGCTTCCATGACTCCAGAAATGATGGAGTTTTGAGGCACCTGAAGATGTCTGTTGTATTTTTAGTGATGAAATCTTCAGTTGACATCTCTTCAGGATTCCTGATATTCAGCTGTATGCATTTTGGAGGTTCATCCATGCCTTCCTTCTTATTTAGTGACTTTACCAGTACTCATTTTGTCTGTGAATACAGCTAAATCAAAAAATGCCAAATCAATGAGTTCCTCATCAAGATAAATAGATGTCCAGCAAATTTTTGACAGGTTTTGAAAGAGCAGAATTCACCTTCTTATACTTAACAAGACATCGTAGGAAGTTAAGATCACTGCAAGAAGCAGAAATGACACAAAGAGCAGTGAATCATGCCCTAAGATAGATTCAGACAACAAAATATGCAGGTGTCACAGAGTCCTCTTTTCTCACTCATAACCATTAAACATAATCTGTTCCATAAAACTCCCAAATGTTGAGGGTATATAATGTCTTGGTCATCCATCATGCATGATGCAGTGCTCCAGGTGCTATAAATCACAATCCACGAGAAGGGATGCCACCAAGAAAAGTTATGACTAATTCAAAAAAGCTCTTGATAATTATCTGTAGGTTTGCTGACCTAAAGTTGTTTTGTAGCAAACTCAGTGACACTGTCCTTAAGTTCCTTTATGACTTCTACTACTAGAGCATGGTCAACCACAGTTTCACAACTTGTTAGCTACACAATTAAAGATATACACACCTATTATGTAATCCCATTTTCAAGGACTTTTCTTGCAGGAAAATGAGTTGATTTGTAACTAATACATTTCAAATCAACACTACCCTAATCATCTGCACATGCTGGAAACTAAATATGGCAGGAAAAGCATTATGCACTATATCTATATTCCCCTCTGAAGCGAAAGTGAAGTAAAGGATAACACGTAAAGGAGTTCATGCAATTTCATGTGCAGTGATTTTTATTGAAGAATGCAATTTACCCTTTCAGTTATTTATAACAACAAATGTCTTGGCCGTTATGTGTAACGATATAACAAAATGAAATTATTTGAGTATCTACACTAGATATATGCATAAAGGAGATCACATGCTTAAAAAACTAATTTTATTACAAGCTCCAAATGGACATACCCAAAATATCATGTTTGGGATATGGTCAAATCAAATTATTTACTTTTGAGGTTGATTTTACACTCTGATATTTTTATTTACACAAAAATTTATTATTGTCGTGAAAATAAACAACTGTAAAGGTGAACATATGATTGTGGCGACATGTTATTTTTGTTATTTTTATATGCGAAAAAGTAATATGACAATCGGCTAATAACAAATTTTCAAAACATAAATGATTACTAATTAATCACAGTAAAGGCATGAGTCATACTTACAATTTTTGTGTTTGTGTTATTGCTTTGAAATTAAATTTTTCTGCTGGTGACATACTACTTTTAACACCCCACCATTGTTTATTTCCTTGGTTTGCTGGAAAAACTAAATACAAACTCAACATATTATATATGTTTGGAAAGCTCAGTCCATTATCTATCGTTTAGAAATTATTATATGTTTGTGTAAGGTACATACTCTGAAATTGACTCCAGAACACTGGTGACATCAAATTGAACACTTAAGGAAGCCTGGCCCTCGTAGTAATGGTAGTATAGTGCATCAGTCATTTGGAGACTTAGAAATACCTGAAGACTTTGTCATCTCTATAGTCTTGCAAGTGGAATAATCACGTTTACATGGTTGATAAATGCATTTTGTTAGCTTTGACGTTTTTCAAATAACTATATAGTGTTTGGATTCTTTCACTCAGTCTTGGGCAAAGTTTTATTCTCATTCAGATCTCTCTCACATTAAGAGAGATATGTGTCTGTCTTTCAACTTTGTGCATATGTATTGTTACGTCTCCGTTCGTTAGTTGATTTTCCGTAACTTCATTCCCACGAAACTTTAGCGACACAAGTCCTTTCTTAATAAAACTGGTTTATTCTTTCTGAATATAACTTTACCGATACACGTATTTTCAACAGTCGCTCTATAACAAAT